GTCGACTACGCCATCCACGTGCTACTCGCTGCTGGGATGTCAACGCCGACACTTCGAATAGTCGCCCGTGCAGGAGTTGAGAGTTTAGGGTTTAGGGCAGTTTAGGGTTCAGGGTTTAGGGCTGTTTAGGGTTTGAGGGTTTTGAAAACGGTTGGGAGATTGGAGAAACTGAGATTTGGGGTCCTTCGGGGTTCAGATTCCCAGCCTCCAAAATCTCAAAACGCAAGACCCTTAATGCAACGAAGCTCGAATGCTCAAAAACCCGCAAAATCATATGGGAGGTAGGCAGGTAGGCAGGTAGGTACCTGCGTATGCTTCCACGTCTGTGTGCATGTATGTATCTACGTACAATTTGCCAAAATCCTTAAGCCCTAAACCCTTCGGAGGTCATGAACCTCGTGAGGAAACTCCCTCCTTGGGCAGGCGGGGCGAGGGGGGGTCTCCCTGGCTGAAGGTTTCTGGAGCTCCAGTTAGCACTTCAGGTGTTGCCGGGTAATTGCAGGGTTTGGGGTTCTAGGCTTTAGTCTTTAGCCCGGTTTTGGGATATGGGTTCGATTCGAGGGTCTCGGGAAAAAGGCTGTGGGGGTGTTAGGGTTGGAAGGCTTAGAAAGTGCGAGGGGTTGGAAGGTGGCCTTCTACTCCTTGACCCGTATAAAATCCATGAAATAGCGACATAACCCCTCTGTCAAATCCTCACACATTTGGTCAGGTCACCCGCTCCCGGATTGGATGCCAGCCTCCGTCTGCGAGCTGCACACCGGCAAGGTGCGAACAGCAGGATTTGGGTTTAGGCGCAGCAGGATAGAGACGTCAGCTTGAAGACTCGCGGACAGTTCCACGAAGTGTTGGAAGTCGGAAGCAGGACACCCGTGATGTTTCGCTCAGACTTGTGACGTCTCCAATCCTCTAAACAGATCTTGTTCTATCCTGGTGCAAACTCTAAGCTCGTTTTCTTTGCAGACCTCTAGGCGCCTGACTCCCTGAATGCACCAACGTCCCCTCGCTGCTGTGTTTCTGGGAGGTCGGCGGCATCGTCCGAGGCAGGTTCTGCAGCTAGGGACCGGAGAGATTTCAGGGTCCAAGGTTAGGGTTTAGGTTTTAGGGTTTAGGGTTTAGGGTTTAGGGTTTAGGGTTTAGGGTTTAGGGTTTAGGGTTTATTTCAGGGTCCAAGGGTCACGGAAGCTTGGATCCAACGGCCCAACGGCTGGGCCCCAGCACGCCAGCAATCGCCCAGCATCGTAAAGCCCCGCTCGAGCTTCCTCCGCCTGAGGACCCTGCGCCCTGCCATTCTTGCCAGGTGCTGGATCACACCTATATGGGGGTTTCCGAAAATGGGGGGCCTTGGTAAAGCTCCCTGAATAGTAGGATCCTTATTATAAGGACCCAAGATAAGGTACCCCTTATTTTCGGCAACTCCCATATGACACCACTACCATAGCTGCCATAGCACCGGCAGCAGCATCACCATGCTCTACGCTGCTATCACCATCACCCCCATCATCGCCATCATCATCTTGTTCTGCTAGTTGTGAAGACGAGGACGACGGGGGTGGTGATGATCGTGATGATGTTCATCGTATGATGAGACTAACATCATCTTAATACTCATCAGTAGCAGCAGCATCATCATCAGGCGTTTCTTGTCTGACAAGTATGTCTTCCTGATCGTCTAGAAATTCTTTCGGATGCGTGTGCTCTTCTAATTTCGATTGGTCTCTGGATCATATTCATACTATCCTGGCTAGAAGAGCGAGTTGAACAGCTGGAAAGGAGCAAGACTCGGGAGCATAGTGACAAGAGCCATGGTGGTTAAAGTCTGAAGGTCACAGTTGCAAAAGTTCCAGCTCACAGTACTCCCAACATGGAAATCATAAGCGATATAGGTCTAAAGGCCACCCCTCCAAACCCGGTGGTGGGAATCAGTACCCGGTGATCTATCCTGGATCCAACTGTTTGACCCTGGACCCCGGCCCCTAAACCTCTCTCTCGCTCACTAAAACGACCCAAAGCCCAGATCCATTGACTATGCAGGGGAAGCTCCGAAAGGGCTCAACAAGGGACCATTGGGGTTAGCAGAGACCATAGGGAGCTGTAGGGTTTAGGGGCAGCTCGGTGTTTGGGGCCTGCAAGGCTTCCTCAAGAGCGGCGTAGCCTTGATTGGAAGTCTCTGTGAGGTGGCCGCTTCCTGCTCCAACGGCCAAACGGTGCCGTACCTGCCGGAGCCGCAGAAACAACGGGGAGGTTGGGTTTTGGGCATTTTGGAGTTTGCACGGCTTGGTTAAGTGATGCTGGCACCTGCAACTTTCCGTTGAGCATCCTTCGGTGTTTTGGGGCTTTTTTGCATGCTAAGTCACTAATTCACGAGTGTCCGAAGGATCGGCGCTCGAGTGTAAAACGCATCTGAAGCTCAAGACCGTGGTGCATCGGCTGTCGGGCTTCCCCAGTCGGAACGCCTCTGGCCCATCCTCGTGATTCCTTAAAGCAGGCCATGAACCCGACGCGACGAACTCAGAAGCTTTGGTGGTTTGAATCAACGACAACACTCATTACTTGGTTCGGCTCGTATTGCTCGAGTTTAACGTCAATGCTCCTCTGCCAACTTCGGTAGAGAAGTGAAGACGCCGCTGGATGCAGATTTCCTTCTCCTCCTCCTCCTTCTCACCCCCTGCCATCGTCATTATCCGAGCGATTTTTCAACTTATGATGCTTTTGTTCGACGTCTGGGTTTCTCTTCTGTCGGAAGCAAGTTCCTCACCCCATCGAAAGTCCTGCACTGGACAATGCGAGTGCTTCCCATGCAGGAACGAACCCGGACATGTAACGAATCGAGAAGTGGACTGCTAAAGCTCTGTTTCAGGGTTTACGGGTTGGGGTTTAGGTTGCTTTCCAAGATTCAAGAAACCCCTTTGAAGAGCACGCTTAGCCTTTCGCCTGGGGCCAAGGAGCGCTTGGCTCTTGAGGCCAAGATGCTGCAAACACGCAAGGACCGCCCGGGATTTGCCGGCAAAGGAGAGTTTGGGGTTCTTGGGTCCTGCATATCTACGCTTTCACTGTACCATGTGCGCTGTCCATCGCGCATGTGGTACCCGCAAGTCAAACACTGCAAACAGGATATCCCGCAGCATTGCAGTTGTGCGCTGTGCCACTGCTGAGTCGCTGTATCGTGGAAGACACTGACATGTGTGCTTATGTACCGTGCCCAGCGAGAAGGACCGGCGCCGGTCCACAGCTCTGGCTGCTGCTCTTGGCCGGGGGCCCTGACAGAGAATGTGCTGACAGCAGATAAGTGTGGTGTGTGAAAGTAACAGCGTCTCTGTGTGTACGCTTGGGCAGCGCCGCCCGTCTTCGATTGCTGACCCGGTCACGATGAGTTAATGACAAACCGGCTCAGCATGCGACCAGAACGCATCTTTGACATTCATGAGTGTGGCACGTGCGCCCCGAGAAGGACTCGGCTTCGCCATGACAACCGGTGTTGCGATACACGTCCGAGAGGCCCTGGCGCACCTGCATCATCATCATCATCATGATCATCATCATGATCATCATCATCAGCAGCATCATCACCATCCTCACCATCAAGGTCATCATCACCATCACCATCATCATCAGCAGCAGCATCATCACCATCCTCACCATCAAGGTGATCATCATCATCATCACCGCCGTCATCACCATCCTCACCATCTAGGTGATCATTATCATCATCATCATCATCATCACCATCTCCAGCATCGTCAGCATCGTCAACAACATCATCGTCAACAACATCATCATCATCATCATCATCATCACCAGCATCATCATCACCAGCATCATCATCTTCAGCATGATGATGATGATCATCATCATCATCATCAGAAGCATCACCGTCACCATCATCATCATCATCATCATCGTCATCATCGTCATCATCATCATCATCAGCATCACCAGCATCATCAGCATCATCAGCATTATCAGCATCATCATCAGCATCATCATCATCATCGTCAACATCATCATCACCATCACCATCATCATGATCATCAGCAGCATCATCACCATCACCATCAACATCATCGTCATCAACATCACCATTAACACATACATGCAGCAGCTTGCTTAGTTGTTAATGCTCGTCATGATAGCATCACTGCCGTCAAGCGCTATCGCCGGTCAAATTCACAGTCGTCCGCCTCAGTATTATCTTCATCTTCATCTTCATCTTCTCTTTCAGCATCGTCATTCTCATCGTTTCCGGCTCAAAGTTCGAAAGCTGCGAGCTGCAGAAACCGAAGCACCCCAAGAGTCCCTACGCCCTGATCCCCTAAAGCCGTATCCCTAAGCCTACAGAGCCTTTCTGGGCTCGCCGGAGCCCCCAGAGCCCCAGCCCAAAACTGCCCGAAGCTCTACGCACGGAATTAGGGTTTAGGGGTTTAGGGTTTAGGGTTTAGGGTTTAGGGTTTAGGGTTTAGGGTTTAGGGTTTAGGGTTTACGCACGGAATTCTTCGAAAAGTCTCTCAAACCTGGCCAGTGGCTGCGCGGAAAGTCCGAGCTCGGGAAGAAGACGTGGTCGGGAGCCCAATACAGGTAGGGAGTTTGCTCATAATCATAGTATAATATACCCCCAAACCCTATTCTAATGATTAAGGCCCCTACATTAGGGAGTTTGCTGGCTCAGAAGGAGCCCAAGGTCAAGTTGCTCTCTTCTGAAGACCTCATCCGTTCCGGGTCCAGTTCTTGCTTGGGCCTGGGTCCTTGGCAAAGCTTTCCCAGGCAACCTCACCTCCATGTCAACCACTCCAATTTTACCGGGTTTAGGGTTTAGGGTTTGGGGCGGCTCCTCCCGGTAGGTTTTTGTTGGAAGGTTCTTGGAGCGGTGAAATCTCATGACTGGCTCTCGTACTCAACCCGGAGCCTGGCCTTGTCTGTGCTTTCGGAGCTTGCCACCCCAGGGTCCAGTCCAAGGACTTATAGCAATATTACTTATATAAAAATAATAACACTAACAATAATAATGATAATAATAATAATTATAATCATAATAATTATTATTATTACTATTGTTATTAATACCCACCATCTCTCAAGGACTTCTTCCTTGGCTTTCCTTCTCTGAAGGTCGTGTCCGGTCGGGTTCTGTTTCGGGTGGAACTGGAATCTTGGGGCAGCTTCGGCGCAGTCGGCACTGACATGAGTTGCGGGTTGAGGGCGCAGTTTAGGGCCTTGGGGCGCCCAATCATACGATGTGTATGGAGTGTGGTGCAAGCAGTGTTGGTTCGCAGCATAGGTGCAAGCTGCGGAGCAGAGCCGGATGGCGGAGAAGTGTTGGGGGCCCTTGGGGGTTTAGGGCCTTGTGGTCAAGATACAACCCCAACCTGAAAAAAGGCCCATATACACTCTCAGCCCCCGCAACAGCGACATGCCTCGCTGAGAGTTTGACAACTGGAAGTGACAATGATGACATGGCAATCCGACACTTTCCGGCTCGTAACGCCATCAGCAGCAGCAGTTTATAGAAGCAAGAGCGAGATAGATAGAGATCCAGAGAGCCAGAGAGCGAGAGAGAGAGAGAGAGAGAACGAACTCACAAAACTCCGACTTTGTGAGGCCTCAGCTGGGCGTCTGGCTTCTCTACGTGCCCGCCCGGCGCCTCAGTTCGGCCTCCGTGCCAGGGTGCTCTCGCCCGCTCCCTCCCCTTCTTTTTTTGGAAAGAGACGGCCTCATCTGCCTTAAAGCACTCTGCCGCAGGGGCCCCGTCGATTCGGTTGGGTTCCCTCACAGGCTGGTCTTAGTTGCGGCTTCAGCCATCCTAGGCGAGGGATGGCTCTACAAGTCTTGTAAGTCTCATATACCCGCCTGGATTTTCCCAAGCGTGGCTCATGAGATGAAAGGGGGTACTGCTCTCAAAAGTGTCGGCCAGTGCTAGGCTCATTCTGGCTCGTACATGCACTTACCAGTACTGCCGGTACGATGCCATCCCTGCTAAACCCAAACCCCTAAATCCAACACCCTGAGTCCCTAGACCCGAAACTTCGCAACTTTGAACTGCCCTGAAACCCTAAGACCCCAAGTTGCCTCTTCAGGTGCTGGTGACGCCGGCGCCGCCCTCGGTCCTTGCGGGATTTCTCACTTCAGAACGATACGAAAGAGGGGTCGGAGCAACTATTTGTAACTATTTGCAACCAGGTCACCCTTGTGTTCCCCATACAAGTATACTACAATCTACCCTAAAGCTTGGTTGCAATGATGAAGGTCCCATGATTTGGTTCATGCTCGTGCCGCATGCCTGGAACGATTGCTGCGGTATCCCGCAGAGCGACAGCTGTATGGAACCACTCTGCACCTGCGCAACATGTAGGAGCACAGATGGGTGTTGCAAGTGACAGATATTGCTTGAGATGAAGCACACAGCTGAAGAAGGATTTCTCCAGACACCGACTGTCAAGTGCACATATACTCAAATCATACAGATATGTTATATTAATGCGGTTATGATTATGTCGGAGCGTGTTATCATCACTTTCGAGCAAAGTGTTCCCAGAAATTCCCTTGGACAGGTTTTGGTGGTCCATGTTCTCAGACATTGACGCGGTGTCTTTTGAAGTATCCCTGCTTAGAGAGGCCTGAAGCAGAACCCTCAGCATGGAGCAGCCGCTGGCAAATCCGAAAGAACTCAGATCCCAAGGCCGAAACACTGTTACACTCTTTGAGGCCTAAACCGTCCATAGTAACCACAGGGCTTGGTTAACTACGAGACCGGCCAGCAGACATGTTCTTCAGAGAGAGAGAGAGAAGTGTTGGAATGAATGCTTTCCTGCTCGTTGAGGCAGCTGCAGCAGGCCATGCCTGACCACGTTCCAACCCATCATGTCACAGCCCTAGGGTCTGAGACCCGGAGTTCACCCCTCTAAGCCCCAAAGTCCTATTGTTATGTGGTGACGAAGATGGGGATGGAGGGGATGGCCCGGCATTTGAAGCTCTTCATCGCTGCCTTGCTCGGCCTCTGCGTCCTCGGCCTGTGCCTGTTTCAGGCGCTGCGGCCGACCGACGACAAGTGCCCAGGGTCGAAAAACAGCACGCTTTTAAAGCTGGTTTGCAGAAGGGTCTGTTGCTGTTGCCAAAAAACACAAGAGCTCTCGCTGTCTCTTTCAGGGTTTTCCAGTTTTTTTTCCCGGTTTTGGGGAGTCTACTTTCCCCGCGAGGACGCGGCGGTCAGAGGACCAGAAAGGGAACTGCGAGCTCCTGCGACTCGGAAGGAAGCAGGGCTTAGGGCTTCGTCAGCTAAGGGCTTTTTGTTGCTTCACGTCTACCTTTCGGGGCCTTACTAATTACCTATACTAGTTAGGGGGTTCCTTATGATAATTGTAGTATAGTATACCAAAAACCCACTATTCTATTTATTAAGGCCCCTACATTGCGGGTTTAGGGGCTTATGTGGGGCTTCGGGTTTAGGCGTCGGTTTGTTGTGTGGTTCCTGTCATAGGCGGGACGCCCTGATGGTTCTCATGTGCAAGCCAAGGAAAGGAAACGGAACTGAAGACGCTTCCTGCAAAAACTTCGGTGGATGCCATCTCTTCTGCCCAGGCAATGAGTGTCAATGCACCTCTCAATGCCTCAATATCGGCAACTGCTGCGATGACTATGCTGACACGTGCTTGGCGAGGGACGCAGCACACGCAGAGTTAGTAAAGCTCGAAGATGAGATCCATCACCTGGAGCATGGGAAAGGCATCGCCGGATCCGAATGGATTCTTGGTTTGGTGATGGTTTTCTTCATCGTGACGATGATGGTGCTCGTCTGCATGTCACGCGCTACAGATCGAAGGAAACTGATGGTCGAGGAGATGAGCTGTATCTAGGCCCCACAAAAAACAGTTGCTTTCATTTTATCAGGGAAGGTCGTAAAATTCAGTACGAACTGCCCTTGTTACATTGTTATCGTCCCTGCAAACTTCTTTTATGTTATACCCCCCCAAAACCATCTTCAAATTGTTGAGGCCCATACCTTATATTTACATCAATAGCATGTGCGGGAAGAGGATGGAGGATCGGTCGAATCCCCAGGCAAAACCACCTCCGTCTTCGCAGCGAACACCTTCAGCGTGGCGCTCCATGGGGTCTTGATCGAGCAGCTCCTCGGTTTAGGGCCTTTGGGGCCTTTGGGGTTTAGGGGTTTTGGGTTTAGGGTTTTGGGTTTAGGGTTTCGGGTTCAAGGTTTGGGGTTTGGTTTTGGGGTTTTGGTTATGCAAGATGCCACTCGGACGATGAAGCACCATGACTTGCGGGTCCACTACGAATAAGAACTTACGAATTAAGTCAGCCCTGTTGAGAGCTCGCCTGGATGTCGACCACTGACCCTGGATGAAATAATCGCACATCAGAGACTACAGGATTGACATTCGCCGAGAACTGTGTTCTCAGAATGCCTGCAAAAAAATTAGAAGCAACCATAAGACGGATCTTCTCTAAGGCCTTCCCATTCAGAGAACTACAAGTTCGAACCAACAATCCAATCACCACCTGAAAAGGATCACCCAACCGCCGCAAAGAGCTCGAAGAATGTGTCGAAATGTCGTGAGCTGTGCTGAAAGCCATTGCCTCTGGAGAGAAGCGAGAGCATTGAGACTCATGTGCCCAAGCGGGAGCCGACTTGGACATGATACCATTTTGGATCTGGAAATCAGGAACCCACTTCCCAACATAAACCGGTACAAACCAACCAGCTGCAGATAGAAACAAAGAATAGAATTGCAAATGAATCATCCCAACATCAACGTGCACCCGTTGTTGCCGAGGCATAAACTTTAGCATAACGTTTGTGAAAGCACCGGACATAACCCAACTTGACCAATCCACAGGCTCACGCAATCCAACCGACTGAAGCGAAACACGTAAAAGCAAACGTTGTAAGTGAGCTTGGACGTCATGTGTTCGCCTGACTCGCACGAGTGATGGATGCAACGTTTGTGTGGAAATTATGCACCTTCTTCAGCGGGCGAGTTGCAGTTGAAGTTCACATACTTGAGCTGGCCATTGGCTGTTTACTTCTTCTGCAAAAGCTCCAGCTGATTGCTATGATGGGCCATCCATTTGGCCACTGGGTCTGTCAGTACATGAAGACGCTGATAACTTTTGACTTTGTGCATCACCCAACGAGCAAGTACGTTGTGCTTTTGCCACACCATACACCATAGATCAATATTGTCTTTTGATGCCCACTTGCTGTACTGGAAATCACCAGCCTGTAAAGAAAGAAACGCATCGTATATATGCAGACTATCAGTGTAAAGATGACCCGCGGTGCGTTTGAAATCGCGGCAACAATCGCCATGAACTAAGCTCGGTTGTGCGTCTGAAAGAGGCCGTGGAGATTTCAACCCACTGCCCTCGACGACTGGATATCTGCTCTGACGATGGCCCAAGTTGGGCAATCGAGTTGTACCATCGGTAAAAGTGTGACCGTATCATCACGCATCCACGGCATCGGTTCTGCTTGCACTGTAACCAACCAACATCTCACGGAACTCGCTAAGATGCGGGACCTTAGACTACAAATTTATTAAAATAATCACCTGCCGTTTCAGAAAGCGCACTCCAAGCACAGTTGTCCGTCCCCAGTTGCGCAACAGGGCAATCCAGCATTTTATGCTTGATCCCATCGTCACACCCGCAACGTCGGCATGTGGCACAATCGGACTCCAGAAAAGGTTTCTTATGTGCAGCAGTGTATATACTGCTCCACATACAACATTCGCCGCCAGCACGTAGGGTTGAGGAGAGCTTCCAGGAGGTACTTCTCGGCAACAATGCTCTTTTCCGAGCTCCGGCTCGGCAAGAAAGTGTGCCACAGCCTGCAAACCCCAAAAGTTTGCCTCTGCAAATCCTAGAAATCCTCGAATCCTGGAATGCTCGTACCGAGGATCGTGATGGGTAAGAACTGGGGCCTGCAGCTTCCAGCTGGGCCGATTCGGCTCGCGCAGATCTATGGCGTCGTCGCCGTCCTCTTCTTTGTGCTCTCAAATTATCTGGTTTACAGGTCCCTTGGCACAGCCTGCAGGTTTCGAAGAGGCGTATGAGGGCCTGAGTGGCCTGAATGTTTAGGGCCGTTTTTTGGGTTGAGGGCTTACTTGGTTTCTTGGTTGACGCATTGGGGGGCTGCGAGAAGCTGCGGAAGCAACGTCGTGCCGTGCCTGGCACAAAGTGTCACGAGCGAGGGGCGTTCGCGTCAGGACGTGACACTTCTGGCAGACCAGGGCTATTTGGGTTTGGGTTTTACGTGGGATAGCGTTTGGGGAATAGAGAGAAGACTTGGGGCGGGCCTGAACCGCATCGCTCGTGACAGTGGTGTCAGGGCCTAACAGCTTTCGAGTTTCGCGGCTTCGCAGCTTCGGTCGAGTAGGTCCCAGCAGACAGACCGGACCCGTGTACTGAAGCGCTGTTCTTGCATATCGCCACTGCTTTTGTTGGCAGTCCTGCTGCCGTTTGGATGTTTCTTCTTGGTCCCTCAGTCGCTCCAAGCCCTGAAATGATATTCCGAGGAGCTGGTGAACCGCGAACCGCAAGCTCATAGCTTTGAGCTCTTCCCTCGCCCTCTGAGCCCTAGAGTTCCCGTTCCCAGGTTCAAGGACACGAGGGAGCGCTTCTTTGCCATCTGCCAGCTGTCGCTGGCCTTGCTTGGTCATGGCTCCACCTAAGGGGCCTAAACGGGCTACGATCATTTCAGGGTTCAGGGATCATACGTAAAGCCCGAAACCGGGTCCCCAAGCCAGAAACCCTAGCAGCCGTAGCAGTTTTTCGGCCCCATAAAGCCTCCGACACTCCCAGGTGGGGGTTTCCGGTAGTAGCCCTAATATAGTACCCTAAATAGTAGGATCCTTATTACAAGGACCCCAAATAAGGTACGCTAATTTTCGGAAACTCACAGGTCAAGCCACATGATCGCCTTCACCCTTGTGAGAGCGCTGGGCTCCTTGCAGTGGAGCGCTGCCGGGCTCACAAGCTAACCTGCCGGGCTGGTAGCACTAGCAGTAGCAGCAGTAGGAGTAGCAGTAGTCGTAGCAGTAGCCGTCGTCGGAGTAGTAGTAGTAGTACTAGTAGTAGTAGTAGTAGTAGTAGTAGTAGTAGTAGTACGCGCATGGAGTAGGAGTAGGAGTAGGAGTAGGAGTAGTAGTAGTAGGAGTAGTAGTAGTAGTAGTAGTAGTAGTAGTAGTAGTAGTGGCAGCAGCCCTCCCAGGTCAGGGACAGTCCATGGAAGTGCGCCTTAGCTGCTCGGCAGCTTTGGGTGCCAGGAAGCCTTCTTTTGGCCAAAAGACGCTCGATGAGCTGAGGTCCTTCCCTGGGCTGCCGTTCTTCTTAGAGGTTCTGTCTTCATCGGGGAGCGCCTGCGCAGGCAGTACATCACAAGACCTCAGGAAGTGCAGTGGGAGTACCGGAAATCCGGCAACCACTGGCGAAGGTTTCCGTTTGAGATCAGCCAGCAGATCGAAGCTCAGTGGAGCCGCAGGAGCACGGATGGGTCGGACACGGAAGACAGTGACCAAACTGGCCAAAGTGGGCTTGTGTCACATGCATCTGGAGAGGGCTCCACGATCGACAAGAGCCACCTGGTCATTGACTTCGACCCTGATGACCCAGATGCAACGAGTCTAGGCTTCTGTTTGCATCGAGTTGTTTTGTTAGACGAGTGATAGTGCCTGCACGTCATTGGAACCTGAACCCTCCAACCCGTGCCACGGATATCTTGAAGTCACAGGACCGGAAAGCCACCTGCATTCCAAGTGCGCCTTCCGGACACTGATGCTGGGTTCTTGTTCAGGAGCTGAATTTAAGCTGTCCGAATTCGAGACATCGAGTAGGTAGTAGACAGCATGCTTTCCTTATCATGGTGACCTAAACCCTAAACCTTAAACCCTAGTTCATGAACACGAGCCCAGGATGTGTTGTTTGCGGATCCCTGTGGGCTGATGTTCCGGACCGGTGAGGAAGAAGAGTGGAAAGTGAGGCAGGGTTCTGTCCGTTCCAGAGTCCAGGGCTAGGACCTTCAGGAATTCGATCAAGTTCGGGGCACCTTCTTCGGGGATCCCTGCAGCTTGCATATGAAGGATCCTAAACCCTAAACCCTAAACCCTAAACCCTAAACCCTAAACCCTCAACCCTAAACCCTAGGGTTCCCCTGTTGCATGATTCTCTGGAGTGTAAAGTCTTTGGAGTGCAACACCTCCACGATCCTCCAACTGGGTTCTTGTTAAGGGATTTAATTTAAGTTACCATAATAAGGAAACCATATTATTTACTTTAGATCCCTATTATGGTANNNTAAATCCCTTAACAAGAACCCAGCCAAGTAACCCGATGCACTCAAATCCTAAACTTCTGGAGCCCTAAGCCTTCAGTCCCTAAACTCCTCGTAGAGTTCTCATGCACTTCCACGCAGGTCCTATACCAAAACCCTAGAAAAAGCCCTAAGGGCACGAAAAGCCCCAAACAGATGGCAGTGCCAATGGCACCACTTCGCCGAAGAGGCTTTCCTCGACGGGGCTGGCCTTGCCTCCTGGCAGGGGCAGGGGGAAAAGGGAGGGGGGGGGGGGGGGGGGGG